GGAATTTTTTTCCTTTCCCCGGGTTTTTGGGGGGGGGGGAAAAAAAACCCCAAAAAAAAAAGGGGGGGCCCGGGGGGGGGCCCCCCCCGGGGGGACCGGGGGCCCGGGGGTTTGGTGGTTTTTAAACCCCCCCGGTTTTAAAAAAAAAAAAACCCCCCGGGGTTTTTTTAAAAAAAATTTTTAAAAAACCCAAAAACCCTTTTATTTAAAAACCCAATTTCCCCCCCAAAAAAGGCCCCCCCGGGGCCCCCCCCCCCCCAAAAAATTTTCCCCTTTGGGCCCCTTTTTTAAAAAAAAAAAAATTTGGGGGCCCCAAATTTAACCCAAAACCCCCCCCCTTTGGGGGGGGAAAAAAAACCCCCTTTTTTTTTTTTTTAAAAAAGGGGGAAAAAAAAAATTTTTTTTTTTGGGGGGTTTTTCCCCCCCCCCCAAAAAATTTTTTTTTGGGGGTTTGGGGAAAAATTTTTTTTGGGGGGGGGTTTTGGGGGGGGCCCCCCGGGGGGAAAAACCTTTTTAAAGGGGGGGGGGGGAAGGCCCCTTTTATTGGGAAAAAATTTTTTTTGTCCCCAAAAATTTAAAAAAAAAAATTTTAAAAAAAAAATTTTTAAAAAAAAAAAAAAGGAATTTTAAAAAACCAAAAAAATTTAAAGTTTGATGGGCCCCCTTTAATTTTTAATTTTTTAATTTTAAAAAAAAAAAATTTTGGCAAAAAAAAAGGGAAAAAAAAGGGTTTTTTTTTTTTGGTTTTTTTTTTTTTAAAACCCCCCTTTTCCTTTTGGTTTGGGGGGGGGCCCCCCCCCCGGGGCCCCCCCGGGGGGGGGCAACCCCTTTGGGGGGGGGGTTTTTAAAACCCGGTTTTAATGGTTAAAAAACTTAAAAAAAATTTTTTTAAAAAAACCCCCTTTTTTCCCCCCCCGGGGGGGGGGGGAAAAAATTTTTTTAAAAAAAAAGGGGGGGGGCCCCCCGGGCCCGGGGGGGGTTTTCCCAAAATTTTTTTTTCCTTCCCCCAAAATTTAAAAAAGGGGCCCCCCCCCCTCCAAATTTTAAAAAAAAAGGGGGTTAAAAAAATTTTGGGGAAAAAAAAATTAAAATTTTTAAAGGGGTTTTTGGGAAAAAAAAAAAAATTTCCCCCTTTTTTTTAGGGAAAAAGGGTTGGGGGGCCCCGGGGGCCCGGGGGAAACCCAACCCCCGGGGGGGGCCCCCCCCCTTTGGGTTTTTCCCCCCCCCCCGGGGGGGGTTTTTCCCCGGGTAAATTTGGGGTTTCCCCCCCGGGGGGTTTTTCCTTCCCAGGAAAAAAAAGGGTTGGGGGGGGGGGGGGGGAAAATTTTTTTCCCCTTTTTTTAAAAAAAGCCCTTTTGGGGGGTTTTTTTTCCCCCGGGGGGGGGTTTTTGCCAAACCCCCCCCCCCAAAAAAAAAAATTTATTTAAAATTGGGGTTTTTTTAAAAAAAAATTTTAAAAAACCCCAGCCAAGGGGGGTTTTTTTTTTTTAAATTTTTTTTTTTAAAAAAAAAAAGGGGGGAAAAAGGAAACCAAAATTTTTCAAAAAATTTGGGGGAAAAAAATTTTTTTCCTTTTTTTTCCCAAAAATGAAAGGGGGAAAAAAATTTTTTTTTTTGCCCGGGAAAAAAACCCCCCCCAAAAAAAAATTTTTTAATACAATCCACAGTCCTACACTGGCTCAAATCAGTTGATGATGGGCCTTAGACAACTTGTAAATGCAACAAGTACTGATATTGAGCATGGTTACATGCACACAATAAGACAATTATTGTGGATAGTCAGATTAATACACTGAACAAAAATATAAACGCAACAATTTCAACAATTTTACTGAGTTACAGTTCATGGATTTCACATGACTGGGCAGGGGAGCAGCCATGGGTTGGCCTGGGAGGGCATAGGCCCACCCACTGGGGAGCCAGGCCCAGCCAAACAGAATATGTTTTTCCCCACAAAAGGGCTTTATTACAGAAATAAATACTCCTCAGTTTCATCAGCTGTCCGGGTGGCTGGTCTCAGACAATCCCGCAGGTGAAGAAGCCGGATGTGGAGGTCCTGGGCTGGCGTGGTTACATGTCGTCTGCGGTTGTGAAGCCGGTTGGACGTACTGGCAAATTCTCTAAAACGAAGTTGGAGGCGGGGCTTATGGTAGAGAAATGAACATTCAATTCTCTGGCCAAAGCTCTGGTGGACATTCCTGCAGTCAGCACGCAAATTGCACGCTCCCTCAAAACTTGAATCATGTGGCATTATGTTGTGTGACAAAACTGCACATTTTAGAGTGGCCTTTTATTGTGCCCAGCACAAGGTGCACCTGTGTAATGATCATGCTGTTTAATCAGCTTCTTGATATGCCACAACTGTCAGGTGGGTGGATTATCTTGGCAAAGGAGAAATGCTCAGTAACAGGGATGCAAACCAATTTGTGCACAAAATTTGAGAGAAAAAAACTTTTTGTGCATATGGAAAATTTCTGGCCCTCTTATTTCAGCTCATGAAACATGGGACCGACACTTTACATGTTGCGTTTATAATTTTGTTCAGTATATAATAGCTTGTTTAAAACATTTACATGCTTTGCAAAAATAACAATTTCCCTAATAATCCTGTTTACATGGACACATTTGAAATCAGGCTACTTGATGGGACTTAAATAAATGCAGAAAAATCGTCTATCAAACTAAAGGTTCTACCAGTGACCATGTTATTTTTGCGAAGCCTATTTGATTCGGAGTTCGGACATATCAAATGTGTATGTGAAAACTATTTCTAAAATGCATACTTTCAGTTTTTCCGAACTCACTTCACTCACGGATAAGAGGGAGGCTTGCGCTATCAGTTCTGGCACATGCGCACATCAAATACACAGCTGGAATGCCGATTAAGCTGTTTACATGTCCTAATAATTAGAAACATTAGAAAACCAGGTGTATTCGGCGTATGCTTACTTCGATTTTGACCTTACGCCGATTAAGATAAGCCGAGTAAGGCGTTTACATGACTATTTCCATACTCTGCCTACTGCCATAATCCGTTTAATATCAAATTATTAGTGTGCATGTAAATGTACTCCTATAATAGCACTCACAGCTTTCTAAGAAAACAAAATCTGAGACATTTATGGTCCGTTTACATAAAAAAATCAGCAAAAAAAGAAATGTCCTCTCACTGTCAACTGCATTTATTTTCAGCAAACTTAACATGTGTAAATATTTGTATGAACATAACAAGATTCAACAACAGACATAAACTGAACAAGTTCCACAGACATGTGACTAACATAAATGGAATAATGTGTCCCTGAACAAAGGGGGGGGGGGGGGTCAAAATCAAAAGTAACAGTCAGTATCTGGTGTGGCCACCAGCTGCATTAAGTACTGCAGTGCATCTCCTCCTCATGGACTGCACCAGATTTGCCTGTTCTTGCTGTGAGATGTTACCCTACTCTTCCACCAAGGCACCTGCAAGTTCCCGGACATTTCTGGGGGGAATGGCCCTAGCCCTCACCCTCCGATCCAACAGGTCCCAGACGTGCTCAATGGGATAGGGATCTGGGCTCTTCGCTGGCCATGGCAGAACACTGACATTCCTGTCTTGCAGGAAATCACTCACAGAACGAGCAGTATGGCTGGTGGCATTGTCATGCTGGAGGGTCATGTTAGGATGAGTCTGCAGGAAGGGTACCACATGAGGGAGGAGGATGTCTTCCCTGTAACACACAGCGTTGAGCTTGCCTGTAATGACAACAAGCTCAGTCCGATGATGCTGTGACACACCGCCCCAGACCATGACGGACCCTCCACCTCCAAATCGATCCCGCTCCAGAGTACAGGCCTCGGTGTAACGCTCATTCCTTAGACGAAAAAAACGTGAATCTGACCATCACCCCTGGTGAGACAAAACCGCGACTCGTCAGTGAAGAGCACGTTTTGCCAGTCCTGTCTGGTCCAGCGACAGTGGGTTTGTGCCCATAGGCAACGTTGTTGCCGGTGATGTCTGGTGAGGACCTGCCTTACAACAGGCCTACAAGCCCTCAGTCCAGCCTCTGTCAGCCTATTGCGGACAGTCTGAGCACTGATGGAGGGATTGTGCGTTTCTGGTGTAACTCAGGCAGTTGTTGTTGCCATCCTGTACCTGTCCCGCAGGTGTGATGTTTGGATGTACCGATCCTGTGTGGTCTGCCACTGCGAGGACGATCAGCTGTCTGTCCTGTCTCCCTGTAGCGCTGTCTTAGGCGTTTCACAGTACGGACATTTCAATTTATTGCCCTGGCCACATCTGCAGTTGTCATGCCTCCTTGCAGCATGCCTAAGGCACGTTCACGCAGATGAGCAGGGACCCTGGGCATCTTTCTTTTGGTGTTTTTCAGAGTCAGTAGAAAGGCCTCTTTAGTGTCCTAAGTTTTCATAATTGTGACCTTAATTGCCTCCCGTCTGTAAGCTGTTAGTTTCTTAGCGACCGTTCCACAGGTGCATGTTCATTAATTGTTTATGGTTCATTGAACAAGCATGGGACACAGTGTTTAAACCTTATACAATGAAGATCTGTGAAGTTATTTGGATTTTTACGAATTATCTTTGAAAGACAGGGTCCTTTTTATACAGACAATGTGTATAAAACACATGTAAAATGTATTTATAGGACAATATTTTAGGTTGACTATAATTCCATTACACAATTTCTGATGCATCACATACCTTACTTTTATTTTCCTGCATAAGTAAAGGCAGGAAATACATCACGTGCCTCTACTGCCATTCATTCTAATTAAACTGGTTTTGGATTTCTCCCTGACCAAGATGGCTGCCATTTTCACCCCATTATGGAACTGTTTCATTACATAGCCCCTTTAGTAATTTAATAGGATATCTATGGTTAATCATCACATCACTAGCAGGATGAAAATAACCAAATACAGTATCCAAACTTTCCTAGTGACGCATAAAATAATTGATACAAATCTGCAAAAAGAAATGGTATGCTAGCCAAAATGGTCTATTTAGACGTAAATATCTCGATGAAAGGGGAAAATAAAGACATTAACAAAAATGTCTGTTTCACAATGTGACAAAGTTGTATTCTATTCTGACCTGTGGTTCCGAGGAAGAGGAGCACACCGAGCCAGGACACCCAGAAGAGCATGAGGCTGAGGAAGGTCCAGAAGGGCTGCAGGGCCAGCAGGGGCAGGTGAGTGAACACCTTGCCTGCCACGTGGAACAGGGTGATGGTCAGCGCCACGCGCTTCCTCATGAAGAACAGTAGCAGCAGCAGGATCACCTGAAAATGGGATATAGGATATGATGTATATTTGCTGGGTATCAGTTACAGGATAGGGATGTGAATACATTTATTCAGTGCTAATTATCAAATGAAGATATGAGTATGTAGGAATGGTGGGAATGCAGTGTTTTCCACTAGTGCCGACTGTCGGCTAAACAGCAGATTCCATCTCATTTTCAGCTGGCTACTTTTTACACTTATTTTAACTAGGCTACTTTCAATTTGATAGTCAGAAAAAAAGCTAGCTGAGCCCTCTCCCGCTAGAATGAACGATATGCATCTTTTCACAAAGCGAGCAATGACAGGGAAACACCGCTGGTTTAACTTAACGTCGCAAAAATACGCCTGAGCAGAGGTCCCACTTTCATTTTTCCAGGAAAACGGAAGTTATGTTAAATACTGTATCCCTGAAAAACAGAAACATCCGCTTTCTGTGACAGTCTGCGGTCTGTCCCGCCTCCCAGTACCTGTGGTAAGTATGATTTGTGTGCGCTGTGTTTGTTTCATTAAAGAGCATGATGCTTCTTTATGGTCTCTGTGAGTTCATTTCAGGGCTCTACCGTGCAAGGTTACAGCCTTGTTCTAAAATTGATTAAATCGTTTTCTTTCCTCATCAATCTACACACATTACCCCATAATAACAAAGCAAAAACAGGTTTAGAATATTTATTTATTTTTAAACGGAAATATCACATTTACATAAGTATTCAGACCCTTTACGCAGTATTTGTTGAAGCACCTTTGGCAGTGATTACAGCCTCGAAGTCTTCTTGAGTATGATGCTACAAGTTTGGCACACCTGTATTTGGGGAGTTTCTTCCATTCTTCTCTGCAGATCCTCTCAAGCTCTGTCAGGTTGGATGTTGAGCGTCGCTGCACAGCTATTTTCAGGTCTCTCCAGAGATGTTTGATAGGGTTCAAGTCCGGGCTCTGGCTGGGCCACTCAAGGACATTCAGAGACTTGTACCGATGCCACTCCTGCGTTGTCTTGGCTGTGTGGTTAGGGTTGTTGTCCTGTTGGAAGGTGAACCTTCACCCCAGTCTGAGATCCTGAGCGCTCTGGAGCAGGTTTTCATCAAGGATCTCTCTGTACTTTGCGCCGTTCATCTTTCCCTCGACCCTGACTAGTCTCCCAGTCCCTGCCGCTGAAAAACATCCCCACAGCATGATGCTGCCACCACATGCTTCACAGTAGGGATGGTGCCAGGTTTCCTCCAGACGTGACGCTTGGTATTCAGGCCAAAGAGTTCAATCTTGGTTTCATCAGACCAGAGAATCTTGTTTCTCATGGTCTGAGAGTCTTTAGGTGCCTTTTGGCAAACTCCAAGCGGGCTGTCATGTGCCTTTTACTGAGGAGTTTCTTCCGTCTGGCCACTCTACCATAAAGGCCTGATTGGTGGAGTGCTGCAGAGATGGTTGTCCTTCTGGAAGGTTCTCCCATCTCCACAGAGGAACACTGGAGCTCTGTCAGAGTGACCTTTGGGTTCTTGGTCACCTCCCTGACCAAGGCCCTTCTCCCCCGATTACTCAGTTCGGCCGGGCGGCCAGCTCTAGGAAGAGTCTTGGTGGTTCCAAACTTCTTCCATTTAAGAATGATGGAGGCCACTGCGTTCTCGGGGACCTTCCCCATATCTGTGCCTCTACACAATCCTGTCTCGGAGCTCTACGGACAATTCCTTCGACCTCATGGCTTGGTTTTTGCTCTGACATACACTGTCAACTGTGGGACCTTATATAAACAGGTGTGTGCCTTTCCAAATCATGTCCAATCAATTGAATTTACCACAGGTGGACTCCAATCAAGTTGGAGAAACATCTCAAGGATGATCAATGGAAACAGGATGCTCCTGAGCTCAATTTCGAGTCTTATAGCAAAGGGTCTGAATACTTATGTAAATAAGGTATTTCTGTTTATTATTTATTTGCAAAAATTTCTAATAACCCATTTTCGCTTTGTCATTATGGGGTATTGTGTGTAGATTGCTGAGGATAAAAAAAAAATCTATTTTAGAATAATGCTGTAACGTAACAAAATGTGGAAAAAGTCAATGAGTGAAGTTCTGGAAGATACATTTTTAGAAGGGCACAGGCATAGAAGTTGGTAGAATTTGCCCTAAAGTCTACTAGTGTGACTATGTCCTCGTGTTTTTTGGCTATTTACATCATTTTGTTCACACACTAGGTTGTTAGTTTAAGTTTGATCAACTGCTACTAGCAAAAGGATGTCGGAGAATCTCATCTCTCAGACAAACAGACATGTGAATCCCACCATTACCACGGTAAAGGCCTGTCCTAAAGGGGCAGCTGAAAATGTTCGTCTCACCCAAGTACCGGTACCCGCTGTATATACCCTCATTATTTTATTGTGTGTGGTTTTTTTACTTTTTAATTTTTAACTTTAGTTTATTTATTTGATATTTTCTTAACTCTATTTTCTTAAAACTGCATTGTTGGGTAAGGGCTTGTAAGTAAGCATTTCACGGTAAGGTATCCACCTGTTGTATTCGGCGCATGTGACAACTAAAATTTGATTTGATAGAGGGTACATTGATTGTACTTTATTGAGCATGGAACACCCCAAAAACATTTTATTCATGAACTTCCTAAATTTCTTTGTGTGCTCCTTGTAAAACATGTCAGCGTAGATTTGCACGTCCCAGGTAATGTAGCCTAAGTGGTAACGATGAGTCAAAATCTACTTTGCCTTATTATTGTTTTCTGGCACATTCATTTCATATACAGTGTAGCAGCCACTTTTTATTAATTTTTCAAGATAATGTGAGCATTGGGCTATTTAAATAATTTCTGTTTTAATATAATACATAATTTGAAGAACAAACATTGTGGCAATTCATATCTTGCAGTAAAACTGTAAATAAGACTTTAATCTCAAGAGAAAAAATACATGTTTAAGGGTATTTTACTTTAAAAATTGTCCTGATCATATAAGCCTAGGCAATATCCAAAACAACTAACAATACACTGAATTCATACATTTTCTGTAATTTTAATTGTAAAGTCACGTCCGCCTACACACAATACCACAACAAATCTGGAAGTTAAATTTGATAAATTATTCAATAATTTTGCTGTGTATTTCAGATGGAATCAGGGCATTAGAATGTACCAGAGGCCACCCCGAGGGGGCCTGTATGGCTACTTTTTCTATTTGTCTGGCTATTCCAGGTACTTGTGGAAAACACTGAGTTGGAATGTTGGGGCAGCAGGTAGCCTCGCGATTAAGAGCGTTGGGCCAGTAACCGAAAGGTCGCTGGTTCAATATCGCCGAGCCGACTAGGTGAAAAATCTGTAAGAGTGTCTGCTAAATGTCAATGTGGGTCAGGTCATTTCTGTCAGTGTTGCAGACGAAACTGTAAGGCTTTTATAGTTGCAGAATCATGACACACATTTTTGCAAAAGCGTTCGTCAGCTTTTACAGTTTTCCAGCCTTAAAGCTTACTTGCCTCTGTCAACATTTGGCTTTTTCTTGTTGCTGAAACAAATCTGGTCTTGAAGAGCAAATACTTGAAAACACAGTACAGTATGAACCCTCACAACACACCTTACCCATATAAAACAGAGAAATCACAACACATTGCAAAGGAAGAACACATGCACACACACGTACCGTGAAGACAGTGGCAATGATGGCATAGACCAGCAGAGCCTGGACGTTGTCTGTGGCCACTTGCTGTTGGGGTGTTGGGGTGTTAGCAGTCTGGTCGGTCAGATTCGTCCTGTGGTCCACGTAGAGCCACCACAGAACCCCCGTCCCCCCTGAAAACACAAGGACGAAGCCATCAAGCTACTACTGGGTTCAGCCTAATACTGGGTAAAATGTCATTTTCTGGTTGTACACTGGTTTCTGGATGAACATCAGATAAGAACCAGGTAAAGATTAGTACATGACTAGACTAGTACATTACCCACGAATCTATGCATACAGTATGGCTTTGAGAACGAACGTCTCTTTTTGAACGTCGGAAATTGAATCGCATCTTTGAAAGAGCTGTTCATTTGGTTCCCTGATTTGCATACTGCTACTACTGCTTTTTGAGCTCCCGACAACGATTATCTGCAGATAAATTATAAAAACATTATCTGGAGATAAGTTATAAAAACAATAGATAGTGAGGAGAGAGCCTCATTCTGGTCCATGCAAAATTTTGCAGTGTGTTTTTGCAAGAAATCTAATTTCGTGAGGTAAAATGTATTTGAACTCACATTTCACAATCTGACATAATGGTAGGCGACCTTTCAGGCTTTACAATTGAAATGTGCTATAATACATGGTTTCTCATACATTTTTAAGCACTACAGAATGAAAGAAGAGACGTTTGGGAGCCAAATGAACGGCTCACCGAAAAGACTCGGAATGCCCATTACTAGTAAAGACGTCTCTTTCATTACATTACTGCGACGTCGGTAAGAGGGAAGCTTACCTAAAGAGCCCAGAACCACGAGGGCGGTGAGTATCCAGACCAGCACGACAGAGATGTAGCGAATCACCACCATCAGGATTATGGAGAGGACTACAGACAGAGGGGGATAGATATAAAAGAGATGAAACAATGCTATTGTCGTAACAAAAAAGGCCTTATTATTGTATAACGCTATGATTCTTGCTGCTTTATTTATTGAAACATAAGGCGTCATTGTGTGATGTGTCATGTCAATTTAAAGGGAGGACTACTTCTTTTGGATGCCAGTGCTCTAGAGTGCGACCTTTTTACTCGCATATGCGCTTAAATATTTTGCTGTGCGACCTGGAATTTTTATTTAGGAGCACCGGTGCGCCTAGAATGAAAATCACCCAGATGATAATTGTTGCACTGATTAGGCTACTTCACTGTAATGCAGCCCGAGTGCCATGGATAATACACTGTCATGCTTGCACTATTGCTACAAAGAAAACGGCTTGTTATCTCAAATAATTTCCATTGTGCCCCTAAATTTCTTTGTGTGCTCCTAAATGTTTCTACTTTTAAAAAGCAAGCGTAGAGCCGTCAGCTCTCCAGGAGACATTTCCTGTTATCATTTCCTGACCCTGTCTCAGGAAACAAAACTTTCTAGGGGGAGAGCAGAGGCCTCTGAGGCACAATCAAATCAAGCAGTATACAGAGAGCGAGAGAAGTTATTTAGGATATCCACTATAATGCTTTAGGAGGCTATACAGACAGCTAGAACATAAAATACAACTTTAGGATGTACCTAGAGCCAGCACGCAGAGGCCCATGATGATCTCCTTGCTAGCCATCACCCCGGCGATGACCCTGTGCAACATGCTGTTGTCGCTGACAAAGGTGACGAAGGCCTCAGCAAACTGGGCATAGCAGGAGATGTCCACGGGAGTGCAGCGGTGGAACACCGGGAGAGACTTACTGCACAAGGGGTGAGGATGGGGGAAAATGGTATCACCAGCATTGTCTCGCTAATGTCGTTATATTTACTCGCTGTTGACTTGACACTGGTAAAACAGTACTGTACCTTGCTGGCACAGGGAGTTTGGGGCACTTTTTGGATCTCTCTCCGTGGCTTGCATACTTGGAGACTGGAATGTCGTATGAGCAGAGCTCCGACCCTATGTAAAGAGGAGAAATAGGAAATAAACTTAGTGCAATTCATTTTCACACTGTTGACTTCTTCAAATCTGCGTATATTACCATGAATATGTGGGATGTGGGAATACATGCATACAGTACGGATCAGAGCAGGAAGAACTCTCACCATTTTGCAGTGCAAACTTTTTGACCTCAGTGTACGTCTTCAGCTCTATGTCTGGACACCTGGACACACAGAGTGCCATAGACTTGATCTTCCTGTTCAGAATGTCAATGTTGCAGGGGTCCAAGAAGAAGACATACCTGGAAAAGGTCAAAGAACAGGACTTCAATAAGGATGGAGTGAAGGAGAAAAACGTCCTGAAAAGAGTGAGATGGAGTGTATTTGTCAATGGCACATGCTCCTTGAAGGAAGCCAAGGGCCCAAGTCAAGTAAGACAGAACTAAACATCTGCACAACATTTGAGTAACGTCCTTGAATGTTGCAAATTGTACTGTTCCATCTTGCAATACAATAAATGCCATATTTTCCTAAACATATTTTCATAGTAGACTCGTTAACGTAGGTTGTGTAAAATGTGATGTGGGATACAGCTTATTAAACAGTCAAATCTCTGTAGCCAAAACGCCCCTGCTGACACTCAGTCAAAACGTCACTGGGCAACCAGCCCAGCTTAAGAAACAAAGCCCATTGTCTCATTGAAACTGTTCCTAGAGACAGCTAGAATGGAAACTTACTGGATGAGCAGCACAACAAAAGATGAATCATGTCAAACATTTATTAGAATATCTTCCAAAAAAATAACATGGACGTGAATTAATGCAAAACATTGCAGCACTCAGGGTGTATGTGAAATGGCACCCTATGCCCTAGTGCACTACTATTGACCCCAGCTCTGGTCAAAAAGAGTGCACTATATAGAGAATAGGATGCCATTTCAGACCCACATCTGTCTTATGTTACCTTTTCTGACCACAGGTAACGAAGTGAATTTAGTAAGATTTAGAGTAAAGTGTTTACAGTAATGCCCTGTGCTGGCAAGCTAATTAAGCAATAAGGCACGAGGGGGTGTGGTATATGGCCAATATACAACGGCTAAGGGCTGTTCTTATGCACGACGCAACGCAGAGTGCTTGGATACAGCCCTTAGCTGTGGTATATTGGCCATATACCACAAACCCCTGAGGTGCCTTATTGCTATTATAAACTGGTTACCAACGTAATTAGAGCAGTAAAAATAAACGTTTTGTAATACCCGTGGTATACGGTCTGATATACCACAGCTGTCAGCCAATCAGCATTCAGGGTTCGAACCACACAGTTTATAATCCTCTGTAACCCACTGATCTCACTGGTTAACCCATCAACAAAACAAATGAGCATCCAGGCTTTACCAGGCCTTGCATCATATGAGCAAGAGGGTATAAGTGGCAAACTGGATTACCAAATGATGAAATCTGTGTTTGTGCACAGGTAACGTTAAATGGTGTGTGTTAAACTACCACAACAAAGGCTTGTCGATTGTGGGGAGGAAGAGGGAGAGATCTAGCCTGGTTAAAATCAAACTGAACAATGGTGAAGTTCGCGTTTTGTCTGGTTTAACCAAGCTAGGAGAGAGGAGTCAAAACCTGCTGAGCCTACATTGTCATGGGAGTGGACATCACAACCAAAACATTATTACATGATAGGCTAACAATTGGTAAGCATCCATCTCGAGATGTTCCACACTTCTAACGCGACTTACTTGTTGTCGGTCTGATCCCGGCCACTGAGTTCGACCCCCTCGATCTTGCTGTTCTTCTGACCGCAGGTGTTACCGTAGCTGTCGTAGCCAGAGATGAGCCTGGATGCAGCTCCCGTGGAAATGGAGAAACCAGCGATACAGGCCTACAGGGGAAGCAGCTTCCATTAATAACAACATTATCCTCATCCTCACCACCATCATGATGATGAAACTGCACAAAACAATATCAGGGTAGCACTGAACTATGCTGGTAAATACAATAAATCAGTATAAAACACCATGTACTAAATGACCCATCGAAATACTTCACAACCTTCAACAATATACCACTATGCTGCATGTGGTTGGATTGACCAGTGTTCTTCATATCAATCAATCAATTTTATTTTATATAGCCCTTCTTACATCAGCTAATATCTCGAAGTGCTGTACAGAAACCCAGCCTAAAACCCCAAACAGCTAGTAATGCAGGTGTAGAAGCACGGTGGCTAGGAAAAACTCCCTAGAAAGGCCAAAACCTAGGAAGAAACCTAGAGAGGAACCAGGCTATGAGGGGTGGCCAGTCCTCTTCTGGCTGTGCCGGGTGGAGATTATAACAGAACCATGCCAAGATGTTCAAAAAATGTTCATAAGTGACAAGCATGGTCAAATAATAATCAGGAATAAATCTCAGTTGGCTTTTCATAGCCGATCATTAAGAGTTGAAAACAGCAGGTCTGGGACAGGTAGGGGTTCCATAACCGCAGGCAGAACAGTTGAAACTGGAATAGCAGCAAGGCCAGGCGGACTGGGGACAGCAAGGAGTCACCACGGCCGGTAGTCCCGACGTATGGTCCTAGGGCTCAGGTCTCTCAGTTGGCTTTTCATAGCCGATCATTAAGAGTTGAAAACAGCAGGTCTGGGACAGGTAGGGGTTTCGTAACCGCAGGCAGAACAGTTGAAACTGGAATAGCAGCAAGGCCAGGCGGACTGGGGACAGCAAGGTGTCATCATGCCCGGTAGTCCTGACGTATGGTCCTAGGGCTCAGGTTCTCAGAGAGAAAGAGAGAACGAGAGAATTAGAGAGAGCATACTTAAATTCACACAGGACACTGGATAAGACAGGAGAAGTACTCCAGGTATAACCAACTAACCCCAGCCCCCCGACACATAAACTACTGCAGCATAAATACTGGAGGCTGAGACAGGAGCGGTCCGGAGACACTGTGGCCCCATCCGAAGAAACCCCCGGACAGGGCCAAACAGGAAGGATATAACCCCACCCACTCTGCCAAAGCACAGCCCCCGCACCACTAGAGGGATATCCTCAACCACCAACTTACAATCCTGAGACAAGGCCGAGTATAGCCCACAGAGGTCTCCACCACAGCACAAACCAAGGGGGGGCGCCAACCCAGACAGGAAGATCACGTCAGTAACTCAACCCACTCAAGTGACGCACCCCTCCTAGGGATGGCATGAAAGAGCACCAGCAAGCCAGTGACTCAGCCCCTGTAACAGGGTTAGAGGCAGAGAACCCCAGTGGAGAGAGGGGAACCGGCCTGGCAGAGACAGCAAGGGCTGTTCGTTGCTCCAGAGCCTTTCCGTTCACCTTCACACTCCTGGGCCAGACTACACTCAATCATATGACCTACTGAAGAGATAAGTCTTCAGTAAAGACTTAAAGGTTGAGACCGAGTCTGCGTCTCTCACATGGGTAGGCAGACTGTTCCATAAAAATGGAGATCTATAGGAGAAAGCCCTGCCTCCCGCTGTTTGCTTAGAAATTCTAGGGACAATTAGGAGGCCTGCGTCTTGTGACCGTAGCGTACGATTACAGTAGACAGTGCCTGTATGAGTTCCAGTCCTATATAATGTCCACTTTCTAAAAAAAAAGAGATCAATAGGATCTGCATGTGCTCAATGTAAACCATACTCAGCATGGGGTGCATATTCAGCATGGGGCGCGTTTGAGTGGCAAGTCAACCAGTAAAGTTTTTGCAGCGTATGGGACGTGCTCTGTTTGCCATTACTTCATGCCCTTCTACCTTCCTCATTATTATGTGTGATTGTTCAACATGGAATTGTAACAGATGTGATTAAATGGAGTCCACAAAGATTCTTACTATATGGTAATTGATTGCATGTCAGCATCAGTACAGCCTGCAGTGTATTTCTTTAAATTCTCAACCTTTATGTTGCTTGTCAGTAAGCAGAATTTCACTCAATCACATGAAGGACAAAACACTCACTGTACAGAAACGTATTAGACTACACATGTACATCAGTTCAAATAAGTTACTGGGGTAAATAATATGCCTAGCAATATCCCAAGCAGTCATATGCACTTGGTATTGACCCCATGACTGGTGTCTGGGGTACTTGCTCATTAAGGGACGGTTTCCCTGACACACATTAATTGCCAGTGTAGAAATCCCCTACAATAACCCATGTGTAGCCTACAACACGTATTCAATTGTATTCACACTCAATAGACAACCAACAAATTTGAATTTGTTTGGTGACAACAATATTACAGACAATACTAATTGTAGGCTATAACATGGGACACAACATTACAGTAATATCTAGATAAATCCATTAACTATATTGTCGCAAGTAGGATATTTAATGTATTTATATTAGAAATGTGGATCACATGTAGGCCTATGTAATTAGATTGTAAGGATAAATATGTATTTAAGTTCTAAATAGTAATCTACCCAAAACAGTAAACATGCATTGATAATAACCAATGATAAGTGGCGACATCAACAATTTATGAGCATGTAGTGCCTTTTGTGTCCAAAAAAACAGAAGGTTGTCTCCCACAATGCTTTGGTTCCGACTTCAAGTTGCAGTTGGTGAGGACAGAGGAAGAGGCGAAGCGAGAGGGATAACTAGGCCCAAAGTCTGTCTTCTCCAGCAGGTGGCGTTTTTTCATTTTTTTTTTTAGAGTTTTTGTATGGAAGTTAATGAGTGTTGAATTTCATTAAAAAAACATTTTATGGCTTATTTGCTACCTGTGGGTTATTTGCTCGAATATACGTTTCGTAATGATTAGGTTATTATGAGTGTACTGATATAAGTAGGACATGTTACATCCTGGCAACTTTGAGAAATAACTATTTGAGTTGTGCCTGGTCGTCACTACTTAACACAGCCAAAGTCCTAAACCCCATCTATTGCTTCTTAAAATGTGATTTTAAACCTTATCCTTCACCACACTGCTAACCTTATGCCTAACCCTAAACCTTAAATTAAGACCAAAATGCAAATGTTTGTTTTCATGAATTTCTACGATTTACTTTGTGACTTTGAAATAGTGAAAACCGTTGTGCCCGTTCACACGCATATCTGCTCTCTCATTGGCTAGAATGGTCCCACCTGATCTTTCCTCCTCCTGACTGCCTTCCATTTTTAAAGACATTTATTTTCATTAGAGCCACCACTACAGTATCTGGTCAATATAATGGATAATCTGTGGTGAGGAGCAACTGCAAAAATGTCCAGTCCACTGCAGTAAAAAGTTAATGACCTTTGATCACATGGTTGTTGTAAAAGTCATGCAGTCTACATGTAGTAGCAAGTTGGACAAGTTTTATAATAATGCAACACACGTCTTGACAAAAGTGATCCGCTCGAACGCGCTCATGGTCATTTACAAAGAAACCACGGCAAACTCACCATTCCGATACAAAACAATGTGAATATGATGAGCCATGGAATATCCGTGCAGCTTCGATCCTCCAATGGTTTCCACTCGCGCTGCTTTTGCTAAGAAATAAAAAGTTAGAAACAATCAAATTCGTCATCTGTTAACACCTGTTGCATGCGCGAGACTGGTTTAACCTGGCGTGCTGTTTTCACTCAGTCAGTTCTAACCCACAGCAAATACTGTATTTGACTAAATAACTTACTTTCACCTAAATTAACATTCAAGCGTCTTTTTACACACGGAAATAGTCCGTTGTTTAAAACGTAAACAACTATAGCTAACTACATACAGTACAGCCAACGCCTCGACAGATCTGCAGTCGACAACAATTTGTACGTTTTTGTTGCTGAATGGATATCCCAAACATATAATGTTAGCAACTAGTTTGGCAAATCCCAAAATGTCTAGCTAGCTAGTTAACTAACGTTTTGGCTTAAATATCCCTAACCCCGATTACCTCTGAACTGCCACTGCATCCCATTGTTGACAGGCGATTTAGGGAGTGACTGAAACTTCCAAAACACAAAAATCGTTTAAATTTCAAGTGCCCGCCTCACTCCCTTGCCTGTATTTTACACTGCGCTTGTAAACAGATTAGTTGTTTGGCAAACTCTTCCCCTCAGCTGCATTCATGCCCTATATTGATAATAAGGAATACTTTGCAAGGATGTGTATGCATATCCTACTTTTTACTGCAGCTAAAAAGCAGGAAGAGATGAACTTTCGTTATGACCGAGGCGGAAGTGTCATGGCAAGCACACGTTTTTCCTAATATTATTCTGTGGCATTGAAACGCTTTCACTGTAGGCTACACGTTGGAAGCAAGGGTACCCCCGGCTGAAAACCCATAGACATGAAAACCCCAAAGAGTTTACTGCAGACATTCACCTATTGTCAGATAAAAGATTATGGAAATAAATATGTTTCTATTAAAAATCATGTTCTTTTGACATAAATGCAAGTTGCAGAATTTGCTAACGGCTTTAAATAAAACATGCTTTTTAATAATTGTATTTTGAAGTGTTGGGGTGTTGGTGGGCACAGTAGACTTTTGTTATCCAAGAAACAAATGCGCTTCTGTATAGGGCACATATTTGTTTATCTTGGCACATAAAAACCTTCAGCTACAACAGGGCATAACAAAAGCACCATAAACTTCCAGCAGAACCTCAGTGACAATGGCACATTCCCTGACCATCCAGAGCCATTTGTAATGAGCATATCAAAATCAGCTGGCAATTCAGTGTGAAAGGGAATTCTAATCCCACTGCCCTGAGTGATGACAGCATCTCATGATTTCATTCTGAAGTATAACACTCTAATCGGTGATGATTCACACACAAACATCGCCTTGCTGCTGTCTCTGTTCCTGCTATTAGATATTTGAAGATTTCCGAAAGGCCAGTCTCTTTGGCAAATGACAGGAGTGTCAAGGTGTGGAATGTTAGCTAAAAGGACTGGTACCCAGACTAACACAAACATGGTGACGTCACCAAATAGA